GTGACGGGTGACGCTCGGTAGGAAATCGAGTCATCTGTCATCGCCTGTCACTGGCTGTCACTCAGAGACGGTTGACTGATGACAGCCATGTTCTATTCTCGCCACAAGGCGCAGGCGCGTGACGGACACAGTCTGTTGTTGGGAGCTAGGAAAACTGAAGCTGCTGTGAGCTGCCACAATGTCACTGCCTTGTTGAACCCGTGCCTCTTTTATTTATAGCTTCTGGAATGGAGGCTCGGGACTCTTCAACAGAAGTTAAGTACCTTCTTGTTTTACAAGAACATCCATCCTTCCGCCCAACTCACAGGCCGCGATACTTACCTCGCTACTTTTTCATTTCTTTATTTCTCTTCTTTTCATCGTGTCATTTCAACAGAATATCCCTTACTTTGTAACAAATACTATCCCTTGCTACTCTTCCCTGCATCATCTCCTTCACTCATCTTTTCTTTCTTATTTATCCGGTGTAAAGCTACATCAATGTCTTCCTGCCTAACTCGCTGCCCAGTGCCCATCTCTCCTCCTCCCGAACTGATCCGTCCGCCCGTCTATTCGTCTGTGCACGTCTACGACGCGTCTGAAGACCGCTAAGTAGATTAGTGCCACCGATACGGTCGGCCGCCCCGCTGCGCCCCACCGAAAAACCGCGCTGCTTTTTGCCCGCGGTGGCCGTGGCGTCGCACCGGACAATGGGCAGGCGTCGCAGGGGATTCGCCTGATAGCACACCTGTGGCTCAGCAAAAACGCCGTCTCCGGCCACCGGCGCGCCGTGCCGGAGCGGTGTGGTGGAGCTCTTTCATTGTGGCAGGCCGAGCGCCGGCGCCGGACCGGCTGGCGGAGGTCGAGGGGAGGGGCCATGGAGGAGCGGAAAGGGACCCGTCACCCTCACCCGACGGGGCTCGCCCTTTGCGTCTGACAGCTCACGTCTTTTGCCGTTGGTTTCCCCTCTGGTCCCCTCTTGTTCTCCTGTTTCGCGACTTCTCTCTTTACTTGGGGACCTCCCTGCTCCGCCCGTCGCCCTCCCCTTTGTAAACCTTCCCAGATCCATCAGCGTCTCCCTTCCCCACCGTCTGCTGTGCTCTCAACGCAGGGGACCCCAGGCCTTCCAGATGCCCAGCCGTCCGCGCGACTCTTCCCGGGACCGTGAATGGCGGCGGGCGGCTCCCCCGGTGTTTGAGGCCGCTGGTGTTGGAATGTGGCGGACCCCGCGGTCGGGACGGAGAGGCAGCGCAGGGCATCCGGCGCCAGACGCGGTTCAGGGAAGGAAGACGCCACTACAGGGGGAGGAGCTGGTTCTGGGGACGGGAAGGGACCGACCCGGTGGGGCGAAGGTCCTCGTCTCCGGTGTCGGTGAGGGGTGGCGCGAGGGTGGCACTTTATGTCCCGGAAAACAGACCAGGTGTCAGCTGAGTGGGAAGGCGGGGACCCCGCTGGAAGTGGTGCGGGAAGGGGAAGCATGTGTCGAAGTAACTCGAGCATGGTGCCGCTCCAGCTCCCCTCCCATGCTCTCACCGCGGCGGCCGGAGGAGCAGCGAGCCTCGCTCATTCGCGTGACGAGAAGCCCTAATCAAGTGATCATTTACACGAATTTGCCGCTGGGGGCGGCGAGCCAAGGTCGGCCGTCAGCGTGGTCACGCTCCGCTGCGCCCGTCACGGAGCGTCACGCGGCCCGTCACGGAGCGTCACACGGACCGTGGCGGAGAGTCACGCCCGCTGGCCCGCTGGACCTCCCTCCGTGCGCTGGCCGGCCACCCTGTCGTTAGCCGTGCGGCTGCCGGACCTTGTTTCCCGTGCGGAGTCATCGCTACTTCCCTCCAGTGCGCCCGACAGCCTTACAAAGCTTTCGGAGTGGTGAGTGGTGACCCTTTCCGACATCGCTCCGACCACAGCTTGGGTCGGCGCCGAGGTTCCGTCCTTGGTCACTAGACTCGTCCACTTTGCCCTCTCTACCCACATGATGCCTCATGCTGACTCAGCCCGGCTGAGATGGAGAGAAATGACTGGACCGTCCGCGCGAGGACATCGTCGCGCGATCTCCGACTGATATCCCGGACGGCCACCATCGAGAGAGGGATCGACGGGACGGATAGGCCGCCCTGAATGGTCCCGCCGGGCGGCTGCGCCCACGGAATGTCGCCCTCATCTGTCGGCCGTCAGAAGGCGACACGAAAACGGTCACCGAGCCGGGAAACAAAGGCAGGATGGGCCGCCGCCGGCCGCCGGGTCTTGTTAGACTCTCGGTCACGCGTTAGATGGGAACACGCGATGGCTTTGGAAGTGGATCGAGCCACCGCCCCCGGGACTTGGGATGGTCCATGTCAATGGACAGCTGAGACCAGGAGGGATTCTGGGAAAGTGACCCAAGACAGCTCTGGGAAAGGACATGGCTCTGGACTGGTGATATTGGCTTGGCTAGCGTATTGCCTTTACCATTTTGGCTCGAGCGAAGATTCATACGGGCTCAGGACCAATGGATGAGAAAAGAAAGTGGTTTTGGTAACTCCTTAAGCTCCTTTTTGTATCTCTTTTACATAGCATACGGCTGCAGAAAGGCATCAACGAAGGACGAAATACTTAGCACTATGCTCTGGGACTCAAATGCCAGCGCAACTGCAAGAAGATTGAGGATAATTCGTCGGGTTGATTACCTCTTCAGATGAAGCAGGAACGGCTACATGAACGTTCACATCCGGCACGTCAGGCAAGGGTGGAATGGGGCGTTACCAGCCTGAGCCGTCGACCAGACTCTGCTAAACGACTCTGCCCCTAGCATCCTGTTCCTCTGCTGGTGGCGTCTGTGGAACTGGAAGGGTGTGAGAGAAACCCGAGCCGCCGCGAATGTTTGGGCTCAATGGCAGGGTGATGAACGAGTCCCCGGTGAGCTCGTTTCGCCGGCAGAAAAGTTCCCTGGGGCGCTTGGCAAGGCGCTGGCTCAAGGTGGCGGAGGGGATGTCCCAAGCTTTCAGCCTGAACGTGGGTGGGAAAACGCCACTATGCGCAGTCTCGTCGCGTTTCTGCGCAGTGTAGGTTTGAATCGGGGCCTAGTCACTGGTCAGCCTGTTGACCTGTCTAGCCAGTAGCCAGTCCAGCGGCTGCGGCCTCAGCCTGACGTCTCGGTCGGCGCCGAGCGTTGGACCCCGCTCCGTGTCGCCGCCGGGACACCCGGCACGTCTCATTAGTCGCTCTCACGGCGTGTCTGCGCGGCCGGTCACGGCGCCGGCCCACCACCGAAGCCGTCACGGCCGCGTTACGCGTCACGCCCGGCGGCGCGGCCGTCTTCACGCGCGCCGCCGCTGTCACCGCCGCGTCACGCTCTGGTGCGGTGCGCCGGAATTGAACGCCAGCCGCCGGCGGCGCTGCGGGCGGGCTCTGGCCGCCGCTCAGCTCACGTAATCACACGCTACAAAATAATTGATAAACATGGCTGGCGCTGCGGCCGACCTGTTTGGGACGTGACGTCAGCCGGCCGACCGGCGCGCCGCCTGGTGGGCGCGCCGGGAAGCGCGCAGATGGCGGGAACAGCTCCGGCGCGCCCTGGGTCGTTCAGGGTGGGGTGCCCGGCTCCCCGCTCCGTCGAACGAACCGATCTCCGACCGGCCGACGTGGGGCCGTCGGCCGATTTAATGAGCCCCCTGTTGCCGACGAGATGTGGGAACGCGCGTGATTAATGACCGATGGCGCGGACAAAGGGGCGTCGGCTGGCGAACAGCCACGTGGTGCCGGCGGCCGGCGCAGCAGACACCGGCCGCCGGCCGCCGGTACACCAGACACCGGCCGCCGGCCGTTTTTTCGTCCGTCTTTGTTGACGGGCATCTGTCGTCGCTGACGTCACCCACCATGGTCCTTGTGCACGTGACTAGTGTCCGTGTGTCGTGTGTGTCAGTTGGGCGGACCGTGCCACCCCCCGACCCGGCGGTGTCTCCGGTCGGAAGGTGGAGGGAGGGGAGGGAGGACTGCTGTGTGCACAGTTGGGCGGCGTCTGTTCAGTGTCGACTCTGTATGCTCTGTTTGCTCTTTTGCCCCCGTCCGGGCTTCTCGCCAGGTTTTTCTCGGCTCGTTTACGCCTCTCTTTCCGATGGTGAGTTTGTTTTTCCACGGCCGTCACAGTTCTTGTGGGACGGTCTGTGTTGGATCCTTCATCTCCCGGAGTGGGTTCAACCCTGTCTCGCCGCCAGTTTTTTCCGTGTACTGAGACCCTTACTGGCCGTTTTCTTTGGCTGGTGTCTGGTGTACGCCTGTTGGACGCTCCCTCGGAATCGAGTGGCGACAGGCGTGTCTTTCGTCGTCACTCGTCAGTACCCTGGGAAGGCGGGCTCGGGTGTCCCCGTCTGGGCGGGGTTGGATGTCTGTGAATTCATCCATGACGAGCTGCGGGGACGCTAGGCTGTCCCCGGGTGTCCTCATCTTAGGCGGCGTTGGGATGTCTGTGGATTCATCTGGTCGGGCTCGCTGTCCCCAGGTGGATGAGCACGCTGTCGAAGCTATGACAGTTTGGAAATGACCGTGTGTTTGATTTTCTGGGCTCCTAATTGCTGCTCAGGATGGCGATTTGGCAGTAAATATGTTCCATCTGGGACTCTGATCTGTTGATTAACTTCAGTTTATAACTGTCCTTCGGCTGATGAAAGTAACCAAATTCATGCCAGTATTAATCGAGACGAATGTCGAACTGATATGCAATGAGCTATGAGCGATTGAGCACGCTCTGGAAATGCTTCTCTGTAACAAGTCGTGACTGTCGCTTTGAATTTCATCGTGCCTTTTTTTACAATGATGTTTACTGTTCAGTGTTCATGCTAACCACAGGTTCTGCAGTTAGAATGGATCATTCCGTCTTTTGTGGAGCGTATTCATTATTTGGTTAGTCAATCATCCTTGGTTCAACCTGAAAGTTCTGCTTACAACTATAGTAGGCAAACTGCGCCGTCAAAAAGTGAGCGTGCAGCAATCGACCCTTGGCGTATGCCTCAGCTGACGTGCAATTTGTGTTTGTCCCACAGTCTGGCAGCGCGGCTAGGCTGGCCGCCGTCACCGCCGGCTACCGTCCCGCACCAGTGGTGAGTGTGACCCACCCCTACTCACTCGTACCCCCCTGAGTGTGAGTGAGAGTGAGAGATTGTTGATACCCCTGCGGTAGTTGCTCTCCGGGTGCACCCTTCCTGCTGGAACGGCCGAAGTCTGTCCGCACCTTGTCCTCAGTGTTCTGGGTGTGGCCGGGGGCGAGATACAGAGCCATCGGGCCGTCCTACCACCGAACTGGACACTGACGCAACTGTCCCCTTCCCGTGGTGCCACGGCGTCCTGTGGTCAACACACGGCCGGCGTGGCCGCTGAACCAGCAGATGGTTATTTAGATCACAGACGACGTGTTTCGTCAGCGCCTGTCGCGGAGGCGACCGATCGGGCTGCGGGAAAACAGCCGTGAAAGTGACTGATTATCGAGAGTCTGAGACGCTTCTTGGCGCTCGCGCGCTTCGAGAGCGTCATGAAGAAACGTTTTGTGACACAATGGCGCCGGATGCTTTCACCCGTCTGTTTGCGCTACCGGGCGGGGGATCATAGAGAACACGGCGGTTCCCGGCGGAGAAGGGATGCTCACTCGGCCGGATCCACCCGACTCCCCACTGACCCCTCCCCTCCATCGCCCCGCGGAGGCCGTTCGAACTCCGTCCAGCCCCCTGCGGTGTCAGCGATGCGGTGCTCGTACCAGAGTCCGCACCCCCTCCCCTCCGGTCTCGAGCCGCCGGCCGCCACCCACCGCTCAGCCGTGTAAAACAGCGGCCGGCTATGCTGTAAAATGAGTCACGTCGAGTGGTCAGCGGGCTACCCGCGCCCCTCCCCCTCCCCGGCACCCCCACCAAGCCACAAACCGGGCCATTAGAGCCGGCCGGCCGGCCGGCGCGACGCCAGCGCCGCGCTGCGGCCGACGCGGCAACTAGCGGCGGCGTCCGGCGCTGGCCGCCGCAATCCATCAGGCGCGCCAAGAGATCACAAAAACGGCGCGCCGGTAAACGCCGCGGCCGCCGGGTTAATTGCAGGGGCGGCGAGCGGCTGAGGGTCGCCGCCGGAGCGCTCGAGGGCTCTATTACCGAGTGGGATTCATACATACGGGCTGGGGCGGGCCGGTACGGACCTCCGCCAGCGCCGCCGGCGGAGATGGTATCGCTCGCGCTGGTGAGTGGCCGAGTCGCGGAACGGCCTCTGTCCCGAGCGACACCTGGCGGGGGTAATTAGCGGGGAGGGAGGGAGGGAGGGGAGGTGGGCCCTGCTACGGCCGGCGGCGGGCGCTGGGAGACCGGCCCGGGTTGGTGGCGGGGCTGGGAGACCCGGCTCGGCGCCGGGCACAGATAATAGCCGGTGTTTGTGTGCGCCGGCGCGGCGTGAAGGCCTCTCAGTCTGCTCAGCTGCCACCGCCCTCCGTCCCTGCCCTCTGTCCCCTCTGTCCCTCGGCGGCGCCATGTGACAAACCGCTCCCCGTCTCCCCTCCCCTCCCCTCCCCTCCCCTCCCCTCCCGGACCGAGCCCGCCCCGAGCAGCCGTGTCCAATCTCTCCCCGGCCGGACCCTCGCGCGGACGGTATTGTGAAGTGCCGTCTCACCTGCACACCCCTCTCTCCTCCCCTCCTTTCCTCCCCTCCCTCTCTGTCCCTCACCCCGCCGCCCCTCCGGCCGTATTTGTCCTAATACCCGGCTCTGGGGAGATTCGATCCGCTGAGGGAAGGGTCGTGTTGACGAAACGTGATAACGGTTCACCCTGCCACTCGGGGGAGAGGGGTCAGGGGAGGGGTGGCTCCCCTCACCCTCCCCTGTATCGCACCCCTCGGCTCCCCTCGGCTCCCCCGCGCTGCCGGCGACCTCCCCTCCGGCCGCTAGTGCGGCATAAATTGCCCTATAATTCTAATTTTCCCGTTTGCCCTCTCCCCCGCCGGTCATTGTAAATCAGTTTTGAAGTGAAGTGTAAAAAGGGACGAGATAGCTCGGTGGGAGCGGGACGGCGCCCCTCTGGGGAGGGGAGAGGAGGGGAGCGGATGCACGCTTCATCCGATCAGAGGCTGAATACGGCGGCGGCGGCTGATGGGATTTGAAGGGGGATCACCGGGTGCCCCGACCAAATCCGCTCACCGAGGCACGGCACAACAATCTGACGAGGGAGAAAAAGAGGGGTGATAACAGATGAGAAGCCGCTACAAACGGGGGCTGAGGGGAGGCTAGGCGCGCGCGCCAGAAGAGACCGAAACAGTACCGTGCTGTACCAGCCCCGATCAGCTGGCGAACCGCGCAAAAAGCGCGCCACTTTCGCCGGCACGCCGTCGCCTGTACCGATTTCGTGCTCCCTTTGTAATTGACTGGCGTGTGTTGACCGGTGTTAGCGACACTGTCCGCCGCCAAAAATAGCCAGACTCGCGTTGTACTGATCAGAACGTAACACAACGCGATCGGCCGAAACCGAACCCGTGTGTCACCGGTTTGTCGGACGGGGGGGGGGGGGTGCGGGGGGAGACCAGTTTTGTTATCGCCGGGCGACACTGTGGCGCTTTTACCGGCTACACGATGGACATGTTACCCGACAAGACGGCGAACTCGCCTCCGGCCTGCCGGACTCCAGATAAGGAGCCGCACGCCGGCACCGGGCGCCGCTCTTCGGACCCGCCCTGGGTCGACTAATGCGGCGCACTGATCCGTCGGCACTGCCTTACTGCGGCTGGTGGTGTCTTTCGACCTCGCTACAGCACAGATGACTACAGAGTGATGTTTTAACACTCGCAGAACATCAGTCGACTGAAGTGCTAGGATGTGCCTCTTATCACGTAGGCTAAGTGACATAGCCTGTCCTTTTGTGCATACTTTCACCAGAGACACGCTCAATTATGTGATAAGAGTTATATCTGGCATTCCATTCAACTGGTGGCCTGTAAGGGATATAACACCATTCTGTAGTCAGCAAGACTGCATGCCACATATGTAGATCGGGCGGGTGTGACTGCACAGAGCGATGCGCGTGTCATGGGTTTCCGGCCGGGCCCGGTCGCCGTGTTGAGAGCAGCAATGTTTGGCGTGAACCGCAGCGCCGGAACGGCACCCTCAGAACGGAACCCTGGGGATGCCGAGGTGGGAGGGGAACGGGGAGCCCCGAGCGTGAATCCGGTCCCCTGTCGGCGGGGCGGAGCGGGAGACGGGTATTCCGTTCGGCTCGCCTCCCGCGCAAGCCACAGTGCTGCGCACTCTCACTGGCTGCTGGTTGAGAATTGAGAACGCTCACTGTCTATAAATTGAAAATGACCGCACGAACTTTCGGTTTCCTTTATTGAAATACCGTCCCTGCTTACTATCGTCAGTAATCGGTGTTTGGATCTATTTCTAGGCGAAGGGCTCATTTATTTTAAATCCTCTTGATCCTATCATCCATACTCCATGCATCGTCCGCCCAGTCCCCAGCAGTCTGGCCACCTGGACCCGGATACTGGATCCATTGGACCCAGGGCAAACGGCACCCCAACCGATCCTGATTCTACCAACAGCTGCCCCTCCCCTCGGGCCCGAGGGGGCGATATGCGCCATAATGATCTCTGGCGGCCGCGCCGCCGCTGCGCGCGAATTTAGGGGATGCTTTACGCCCTGCCGCACGTGACTGCACGTGGACGCACGTGATCGCACGTGATCGCACGTGATTACTCGTCATTGTGCGGGAGGGTGACCGGTCGTGGGTCCCTGGTCTATAATTGCCGTGGCGTGTGTTGCGTGAGATGAGCTTGTAATTTTCGGAATCCGTGTGAGTCTTAGTGAGACCGTGAGTTCCGTGGGATTCGTGATGCGCACGAAGTGAGTGGGTTCGTGACGTGAACATTCCTGGAAGTATGTGGTTCTGACAAATGCTTGAGATAGTTTGGGAAAATGCCTCTTGTTGTGGATTCTTTATCATTTGGCTCACACCGTATCATTCCACGTGTTTTTTATTTACTGGACCGAATCGAACCGTACCAGTCGGGCAAACTGCAGGGAGGTAATCTAAAATAAGATTAATCTAATTTGAGATTATGACGTCACCAAAATGGGCGGAGCGATGACCATATAAGGAGTGATAATCAATATTTAGATTATATTTCCGACATGTCCTCATTCAAACCCCCCATAACCATCGAAGAACTGCTCATAACCACGATATTTTTTTGTTGAGTGACAGACAAAACTCGATCCTACAGATTGCGAACTGGCCAGAACATTTGAGATTGGACTTTGGGAGTTATGACGTGAATAGTCAATGTCACCGCTGAACGGGCTAATACATTAATCTATTTTTATTCTTTTTTATCGTACTCATTAAATGTTAAGAAAGGTGTTTTCGGCAGTTCTGAGATAAGAAATATTCAATTATTCAATCCCACTACGAAAAATGCGTATAATTCAACGCATTTATTTCATTTCGGCTACGGCGATTTACGGCCGCGATCTAGCGCTGTCCGTGGCGTCGTGTATCCTCTCAGTAATAATTTTTTTCCCGCCCGTATTTTTCGATGGAATGGTGCCAAAGTGGTACCAAAATAATGGTAACATCTTATTTACCCAGCAAAATTAAATTTGGGTGGTAGAAGTGTGGCGTTAATGCGTTATTGGCGTACATAACCGGTGAGTGCGTTTGTTATGAAGGTGACTCAGCTGCACCCCGAGTCATTTCAACCTAGTTTTTTTTTACAAGATATTGTCAGGCATGGCATGTTTTTGTTAATTTTGACAACTTAGGACATCAATCAACACATTCTGAATCGTTGGTGCCAATTCATTATAAACCTTTGTCTGAGAGAGTAGAAATGAGTTGCCGCGACACTTCTCTGAAAATGTAAACATTGTATTATGGTGTCATATTTCCAGAAATAATTCTGAATTTTGATTATTTATATTTTTCCTTGAAATGACTGTGTGTTTGTGGTTTGGGGTGCAGTTTTGGCTTATATTTTCAATGCTTTGAATGCTATACGGGTATTTTAACCCGCAACTCAGAAGTATGAATTATTCAAAGTTGCATGCCCCCAGCCCCGGAACCCCAGTCAGAGCCCAACAGGG